TATATATAGTCTCACGTGCGCGCATGCGTTTTCGTAAGGTACAGCTTATTAATTTGAAGAAAACGCGACTACGCTAAGATTTCCGTTGATCCTGCTGGAAAGTCGCATCGGCGCGTTTACTATATACGCGCGCGCGATCACTAACGATCCGTACAGCAGGTTTCTCCGTCTCCCCTCCTCCTCTCTCCTTCTCCCCTCCTCTCCTCCTCTCTCCTTCTCCCCTCCTCTCGACCTCTCCTTCTCTCTCCTTCTTCCATCGCCCCCTTCCTCTCTACGTCTCGCTCCTTCTCCCCCTTCCTCCCTACCTCTCGTTGCTTCTCCCCCTTCCTCTCTACCTCTCGTTTCTTCTCCCCCTTTCTCTCTAACTCTCTCCTCTTTCCTATCCTATTTCCTGTTTTCCTCCTCTCGTCTCTCTCTCTCTCTCTCTCTCTCTCTCACTTCCCACCCCAATCCCACCACCTGGTAACTTATTATTATATGACGGCCTAGCTCACTTCCCCTTCTCTCGCTCCCCCTTCTCTCGCTCTCTCTCGCGCGCTCGCTCTCGCTCTCTCCATGTTCATGGTGTGTGGACGCGGCCGTGACAACGCTAGCAAACAGTATTGGTATCTATGAGAATCGGCTTATGACACCTCATCGTTAGACTCGCGCATTAAAGATTCTGAGCGCGAGATTTTTTTTTATCGAATTCAATTTACGTAATGACGGAGCGCGAGAGAGCGGGCCGCTGAAGTTGCTGCACGCTCGCGCTTCTCAGCCCGTCGCTTTACAGGCGATAACCGATGCCACGTGCTGCTGCTGGTGGTGGTGGTCACCTTAATTGTTACACCCTATAAGTGTTCGCAGTCCCTGTGCGTGCATGCGTGCGTGCGTGTGCGTGCGTGTGCGTGCGCGTGTATGTGCACGCGCAACAGTCAGTGGGATGGCTTACATGAGACGGGTTGAGCGAGCTCCAGTATATAGGGCGGGTCGGGCGCGCCGCTGCTCGAAACTAATTCGACAACTCGACAATTTTAAACTAATGCGCGGCCGTGAATGTTCAGTAAAGGTGAGCGTGCGCGTCATGGCGGCGTAGCAACGCGCGTCTGCGTGCGCATCATGGCGGCGTAGCAACGCGCGTCTGCGTGCGCATCATGGCGGCGTAGCAACGCGCGTCTGCGTGCGAATCATGGCGGCGTAGCAACGCGCGCCTGCGTGCGTATCAGGCGGCGTAGCAACGCGCCTCTGCGTGCGCATCAGGGCGCGCTAGCAACGCGCGTCTGCGTGCGCATCATGGCGCCGTAGCAACGCGCGTCTGCGTGGCGCATCATGGCGGCGTAGCAACGCGCTCTGCGTGCGCATCATGGCGGCGTAGCAACGGCGTCTGCGTGCGCGATTCATGCCGGCGTAGCAACGCGCGTCTGCGTGCGCATCATGGCGGCTAGCAACGCGCGTCTGCGTCGGCATCGATGTATGTTACGCCCGCTCGCGCGCGCGGGCCTTTATCTCACATCTCGTGTTTCACGACTTCGTGGGGCCGCGTCAGTTGGCTGTATCGAGCAGTTCGCCGCACTAGAGACTATGTGCTGATATACTCACAATTCGCTGAGCGCACGCACACACACCACGTCATTAACGCGTTGGAGGCATTGAACCGCTAACGATGTGCATGGTTGGAGGGCGATGACGATGACGACGACGACACCGACGATGATGATGGTGGCAACAACGACGAGCGAGACAGAGCGACGCCGACGGACGATGAAAACTGACAAACGAAAGAATATATATATATATATATATATATATATATATATATACATGTGTGTGCGCGCATCTATGTGTGGTGGCGATGTGCTCCTCATTTCGTACGCGAAAAATATAGTTTTCTTATACATATATTATAAGTTTATATGTATTTTTCCTAACGACTGTGCTACCGTTTAGTTGGAACAAAAGAACAGCGAATGGCTGTCTAACCTGATCGAGGTTGTCTGCCGCCGCATGCGTGTGTCCGTCACCACCGCCGCTACCGTCTGCCCGTGAAACGTAATAAATGTGTTCCAAACAACCTCACGATGTGCGCTCAGCACAGCTGAACGCAGTCAAGGCGAGCGAGAATATCACGCGACCTCGCCTGAACCGGCCCGCATACAAATGAGTCTATTTATGTGTCTACACTATGCGTCTAAGTATGACTATGCGTCTATGTATGTATCAACACTATGCGTCTATGTATGACTATGCGTCTATGTATGTGTCTACACTATGCGTCTATGTATGTGTCTA